GTGAGCTGGTCTCCAAATAACCTCCTGGTGTTCCGACCACTTCGGTCAGAATGGAACCAGTAGTTTCAAACTACTTACTTCGTCCACTAGTAGTATATTTTGTTAGCTCATGATCACAATACAGAACTTATTTGGTTGACCAATGCAAACCCTCCCGAATTAATCACGCTGCCATTGTTAGAATTATTCACGACTTTTTCCTTACTAAGTCTATATCAGTATATTAGTAGTAAATAGTTGCTATTTTGCGTATTTTTACAACTGCGCACCAATCTTCGTAATAGGTTCCCTCATGTTAGTGACCTCAATAGTACACTTTTCACTTGTGAGGCTAAAATTTTGAACTAGTGTATGCTCGATTCATATCACGCCTAGGTTAAGTGACTGGTTATCATCTTTTGTTTTCGACAGAACTGTGTCTCAACGGATATATTTTCATCAGTTCCATACAGTCTAAAACTACAATAGTGCTTATAATGAAATTACATGATAAAATTTCTTTGAACTACTGTATGATATCACGTATAGTAATGTAAACTTAGGGAATCCAGAGTGCTGAGAAGGCTGAAATTCATAAGTTGTACATCGAAAAAATTGCTAACTTATATGTTATATCACACAATCTTCACAAATTGTACAAACGAGGGTGAGAGCGAGTAATAAATGTAAGCAAAGGGGAAGACTAATGCTATAAAATGAATACCACTCAATCTAAGCATTCGATATAATGCCATGGAGTTAAATGGCTTTCATCGACAACACATTTAATTATCAATTTCTATAAGGGATGGGAACAATTCAGCCAGTAAACTTAAGGTCAGTATGACGTATTTATCTGACTTGTTTGCAGACCAAACTGTCAAGGGAATAGATGAAAAATCCTAATCGCTAACATCTTCATTTCTCCATTGGGTAATGTGTGAGGGTGAAATGAAAATCTAGGCAACGTCAGTAATCCAACCAGTAGTACAAACCGTGGGTTTATAACGTCGTAAAACTAATAATAATAATAATGCTCTATTCTGAAAGATATTTCGGGAATACGATACAGAATTTTCAGCATGTCAGATAGCATCAGTCACACAGAGACAGTGTACATATATACACAGCAAAATGAAATAAGTAGAAATTACACAAAGAAAAGATAAGAATATTCACTCCATCTACAACTTTCTTCAAAATACACAGTCAATTTAGATAGACAATCACATTAGTAATTACATTCATAATACATAAGTAGTAACATACTGTGTACTCATCATTCAGTTTGCTTTCAGAAACAGAAGTTGATTAGTTAGTTCATTTCCAATACTTTCTTCATCACACAGCGGACGAGCTAAATATGTACGGTATTGTAGACTTTTTATATTTAGCAGTATGTGGATAAAGTCTTATGTACTTGCTCCTTGTCTTTCCAGATGATCGACACGTAGAGAGAGTTTTGAGGGAAGAGGATGTTGATCATCTGATAAAGTAAATGCTGCCACATGTTTACATGAGTTAAGATGTTTGTCCACAACTGTTTCAATCAGGAGGTTTATTGGCACATCAATCTATCTAGTTCTGCTGACAATCTTCAAAGTTGTTCTACGCAATACAGCATAGTCTTTAGTGAGCAACGCCGGAAAAGAGAAGAGGAGAATAATAGAGGATTACAGGCAAAATTCAGGAGTTTATGAAACACAAGAGAAGAGACTAAGTTATATCAGGAGATACTCTCAGCTTCCTAATATAGGAAGTTAGATGGGAAACTCTTTTGTAGATTAGTAAGATATGGGAGGACCAGGAGAGGTTCGAAGTAAAACACACACCGAGATAAATCACACTTGTAACATTCTCTGATGCACAACTATCAGTGGAACAGGAATCATGAGAACTGAGGCTTTCACATAGGTTATGTTCATGTGTGAAACTAAAGTTTATAGTCTGACATTTTGAAGAATTAAGCATAGGACGGACGATTCACTGATGACCATCGTCTAACATTAGGTGGTAAATCCTTCATTCGGGAACAATCTGTTGAAGAGGAGACATGTGTGGAAACTGTTTGGTAATCAGTATATTTGATGGAATTGATACTGTCTGAAGATGGTAATTGATGGGGGAAGAAAGAGAAGGAGAAATAGGGGTGAATGGCTTGTTCGTTGGGGAACACCAGTCTGTGACAGTGAGCAATGAGATGGAGCACTCCCCTCTGTGAACAGTTTGTTGTGTTGTTTCAGTGAAATAGGAATGCAGTCAGTTGATTATGCAGGAGTGAGTATTAGCCGTGTGTAGCTTTTCCAGTAGAAGAGGTTTATGGTGAGAGGGAATCGAATGCTGAAGTATGGTGTAAATCGATACACCTGACATACTTTTCATTTCCATGAAGATATCAAGGAATATTGTTGTGTAAAACATCGGTTGCAAGTAAAGGATTGACTATCAGTTCTGTGACTATTCTGGTTGGTAGTCAGATGCTTAAAATATTCGAAATGTTTTAAATCTGCCTGTGTATTCTTACCAGCTCAACAACAACTGGCTACTAAACACCTATGTAGGTTTTTATGAAGTGGGCTCTTAATAACTTCGTTAAGTCTTACTGCGATTTCGACTGGTTTTGTGACTTATTAAACGTCAATGACAGCTGTTCATTGATCATATTTAGCACTGGTTATACTATTCTAGGAAGTTGTGTAAATTGAAAATGCAATTATACAATATGAATAGAGTCTACCTTCCGAATGGAACTAAGAAGTAGTTAATGGTCTTTTAGGAATATCTAATTAAAGTGTTGTGGAAATGACATCGTTCCTGCAAGTTCTTTTCTACTTCTATTTCGAACTGTTTATTAGAGGAATCATATAGTGAAACACTTATTTACTAGATTACATTCGGGGCAGAATTTATTTTGCCTGGTCATATGAAGATAACTACATAACCTTGAGACATGTGTAACGACCAGCTGTTGATATGTTTTCATCCAGCCAGTAGTTAAGTACGTAGGCAGGTAGGTAGGCTGTTGCAGGGGCAAGTCGAGCAGTGTGTTTAGTGGTGCCTGCAAGAATCTGGATGGGTAAAATGTAAGCTGACGACTCAGCAGGTACATGGGATGTACTTACATTTAATGATGAAAGATAACTGACGAATACTAGAGCTTGACAACAAGAATATATGATAGTCTAGAAATCGAAACTGAAAGATGAATATGCAAGACTCTGAATACGTTAAACATGCTTTATATAGTTCTAATTCTCTCCATCTTCTTTGCGGTATAAGGATTAGGATTTTCCGCAAATGTAGAACAGATTCTGAATGATTTTTGTTGCATATATTTAGTGTCGATTCGATAAACAAAGATTCAGTGTCTAGAAGTTGTGGAACTACCTTGATAATGATGACTACAGACAACAAATCGGGTTTGAAACGTAATCGAGTACATAATACTGTCTCTTCCCTGTTTGGTTCATCTCATAAATCAATAAGAACTTGATTACATTCTATCACGGTGCCCAGGTTGTTGTACACAATAATTTTCTGTCGATCCCTTATCTTACTTGGGTCTACGAAGTCAGTCGATGATGAATACCAACCTGAAATCAATGAAATCCTCACAAACCTTGAAATGGAATCAACTCCCATTGCTTATTAGTTAATGACTTGTTCCTAGATGAGATTTTCCAAAGTTCTATTGACAGATCGTGAAGGTGCGGTGAACTAGATTGAGTGTGAGAGCGTAAATTCCACTGTGATATTGAATGAAGACTGTACTATATTGCAGTTCGAGAGGAGTAGGAAAATATGAAGCATTATATTCCTGTCCAATGGAGTAGTAGAAAGCTTCTCTCCACAGAACCCGAAGGTACTAGGCTCAATTCCTGAAGGGATAGTGGGTATCCTCGCCTGAAGAGCCCCATACTAGGACAAAATAGGCGTCTGGTGCTCCTGGGTCTTCAGCGGTTCTTCAAGTGATATTAATCTTTGGCGAATCACACTATGAAATGAATACAGTCACCATAAAACTAAAAATTGAATCAGTTCTGCTCGGATAGTCAGTCGACTACACTGCCGTTTGTATTTGACACAGTAAATACTTAAGGTATTCGTTTAAATAATTTAGTTTGCTCAAGGGGATTAATTGGATCTTTCAACTTATAAAACTTGGATGTTTTTTTACAATTACTACAAAATTCATTTATTAGTTAATGAGACTAATAATTGTTGTATGAGTTCTGCCTAATGGATCTAATTTCTTGTCTCAGATCTTCAAGTTTACTAGTAAATTTTTTCTGCCTGTTACTTAGATATTGGGTGACATGATCTGAAGTCAGAGCAAGCTGCTGGTGTGTTTCGATACTTGACTTTTAGTGAAATGTTATTATCAGTTCGAATCGCTCATCATTTAATAGCCAAGGTTACTGCCAAGCCCTTAATACTTAGTACTTACTTATCAAAGTTTATAAGTCAGTAACTTTAGCATTGATTGATGCAGATTTTTCATTATGAGGAAATCAGTTCCTTTATGGCTATAGAAACAATTTGGAGATGAATATCTTGATCAAACGGAACTCTAAACACCATATGACCTACACAGTTGATCAACTCTTATTTCTTTACATGAATCTGATAACAACATAGGATCTTGATGTCATTAGAATTAACCACTATAGCAAAGTGTAATTTCATTTTAATTAGTCAAAGTTCATCTTGTTATCTGATCACATCAAGAGGGATGAATTATGTATGTGTTGAAGGTTATAGTATCAGAATAAAAATGAATAAAAAATATGATAGTGATGTACTTTGATCATGAAAATAATCAAAAACAAACGATACAATGTTCAATACAATTTTTTAAATGATTAGAAGTGTAGGCAGGATAATTGAACATGAAAATACTTCTTGTGCAGTCTATTTAGTGCGATACATACTTCTTCATGCATACTGATATATAAATATTAGCTAACTGATGAACAGTCAGAAGTGAGTAGTGTAGAATACGTATTGAACATTGTTCAGTTATGTTTCTGCCTATATTTCTTATCAGTATTCTGTATATTGTGCTAGTGAAGTCAAGATTACCACCTGATTTTGAATTCTCTAATGATAATGTCGATGATAAACATAAATGGGCTGTTCTTGTAGCTGGATCAAATGGTTTTAGTAATTATAGACATCAGGTAAGACAATGTGTAACAGTTTCAGTATATAACGTTGTGTTCACTAATAACTCACATGAAGCCTCCAGATATCTTATCATTTAGTCTTCAGTTATAGTTTACACCTCTATAGTATAAATCTATTCACAGTCAACTAATAAGATACATGGTATGCAAACGGTTAGTCAAACCGCAAACCATCGCTCATTTTCACTGAACTACATTAATTACCATCCAATATGTTTTATAAACCATTTGTCATTACCTGTTCATAATCGTTTATGTTTCGTCACATTAATGCTACCAGAAAGTACGAATAACTTACAGTTCATAGAAGGTGACCACGGTAAGATAAGTGTAAGAATGTTTGACACTCTTCACTACAAAACTGTTGAACACAGTGATTGTTCTGAGACTTATGCTAATGTATTTTCTGTTTGTTGATTTCTTGTCTACACTATATTGTCTAGTCACGACGTTGGTTATTTCTTTATCATATCACTGACTTACCAACTTCCCTTGACAAATCTTCCAGTTGAGCTTTAATATTACTCAATAGCTAGCGAAAATCCTGTCTCTATGAATTCCTTCAACACTCTCACATCTTCATCCTTCATTCACTATATTTATCATCCAATCCTGAATATTAGACTGGATCTATGTAAAAAGTCATATAAAAATATAGCGTTCCATACAGTTACAAAGTTGTAATGAGATGATCTATTCATTGTTCAGTTGTCTAACTAATACCGCCGTAAAACTGCATAGTCCTTCCTCCAAATCTACAGATCATCATATGACTACTTCAGTCTAAATAATCTCCATTTAACTGAAGGTTGAACTATGTGTGAATGGCAATATAAAGTTTATCCCGTGACGCTTGCCCATCATATATTTCGTTCCACTCACCAACAAAATGTTTCCATCCCATACTAGATATGTTTATTTGATATATAGTGCACAATATTATTTACTTGATGATAACGTTTTGAGCATAAATTACTACTGCTCATAATCATATCAGTGTTTTCACACATCTTTCAATATCCAATTTTTATAGTCCTATCACCTGATATTCTTTGATTTTGTTGGTAGTAAAGTTTTCCACATCTCTGGTGCAGGTGGTGCATCATCCCCCTTACATGTACTGCGTATTGACTGATTTGATGAACAAAGATTTAGTAATCTCTCTCCCTCTCTCTCTCTGTCTACTTAATTATATTGGACTTAAGTACAGTGGCTTTATTCCACCCATCCTATTATGCGGTTCTGTATTGATATATGCATTGCAACAGCCAATTTACCTTCTAGATTAACGATCTTATTCGGGTCTTTCATTCTATATCTAGCTAAATTCGTATGTTCAGCTACTCTAAGTACATTGCAGGATAAAATGAAGAACAGATGGTGGTTTGGATACTACCGTCTACACAAAACCGATACATCCTAACATTTAAGGCGGGTTTAGTCGAATGTCTAAATCACAGAGCTAGAAAACTGTCTAGTTACTGTAAGGACTTAAACAAGGAATTGAAACACGTAAAAGAGGCGTCGATAATTAATAATTATCTTCTACAGTTCATTAAGAAATTCGTATTACCCTATAAGATGGGTACCTCAGAAACTTTACGTAGGACCTTCAACAAAGCTGGAATTGCTGTAGCATTTAAACCTACAAACTCACTCAGAGATCAGCTTTGTCGGCTTAAGGACCCGATAGATCCAATTTAGCAAAATAATCTAATCTATCAAATTCCATATAATGACTGTGAAGTCAATTACGTAAGTGAAAATAGTCAGGGTCAGTAAATTAGTGGGACATAGGAATTTAGCTAATTATAGAATGAAGGATCCAAATAAGATCAATAATCTAGAAGGTAACTCGGCTATTGGAATGCATGTATAGATTAGCAAACAACCACACAATAGGATGGGTGGGATAAAACCACTCCACTCAAGTTCAATATAATTAGGTATAGAGACAGAGAGAGATTGATTACTGAACCTCTGTTCATTGAATCAGCCAAAAAACCAACATATATAGTAGGACAAGAACAATTTGAGCGAATAACTGTTTTCAATAACTTCTTCAGGCTCTCCAGTTATAATCCATGAGAATAAGTGAGACAGAATAGCTAAAACAAGGAGATGTACAATTTTGAAACAGTCAGTATTATGCGTGAACGGAGACCAAACCAAATTGAATGGTGGAATTATTATCAGTCTAATGTGTTAATGAAATCACTGTTGACAGAACAATTACGAAATGATGAGACAGAATTCATTTATGTATATTTACTGGGGCATGAATATGTGTATGTGCGGGTCAAATAATAATTATGCAGCGATGAATTATATTGAAGTGGGATGAAAGTCATGAGAATACTATAATGAAGTTATCGTTATTTGACCTTCGGGTTCCTAGTGGAACATAAGGCTTCACTTGCATGTCGCGATTGCACTCTCTTCTCTGCAGTCTTTTCAACTTGCATCCACCACTCTCCACAACCTTTCATTTCTTATTCACACACCATCTCCATGTCACTCTCGGATGCCCAACTCATCGTTTCCCATTTCGGTTCCACTCGAGGGCCTGGTTTGATGCGTGATGTTCCCAATCGGTCTTCTCAGTGCATGTCCAGTCCAATCCATCTCTACTCTCTTCTACTGCATATTTGTTGTCGAGGCTTCTTGGTTGTTCGTTGACAGAGTGAGTTCCTTGTTGCACATTCTTTCTGGCAATCCATCTAATCTTCAATATCGAGTGAGCGTAGACGGCAGCTGTTGATGAGTGTCTGCAGTTTGTTGGACTGTAACGAAATACAGAATAAAAAATGTAAAGTGTTATGTCACAGTTGAAAATGACTAGCGCTAGTGGTATGAATAAAGAAGGGTTTAAAACTTATAACATAAGAAAATGAATGTTTATCAATGCAATGACAATAGAGAAGAAAGGAATGCGAGCTAAAAATGTGCAATTTGTGGTAGGAAAGTTCATAAAGAAGGTATCCAGACTATTGTGGGTCAAAGTAAACAAAGTGGTTGTACATATTTCTTTTGAACACGTAGGTCCGGTTTTCTTGTGTTGATCCCTATGGCTTCGACTATGCATAAGATGTGAAGTCGTGCACCTTTAGAGAGATTGCAAGGGGCACGGTATGTTAGATGAAAGGCTTGATCTACCTTAATCTGATGTCCGGTATCTACTAGGTGTGAGGGGATTGGACCGTTGATCCTCTTTGTCAGTCCTTTCCATAACCAAGATGGTGCATGTTCACGAGCCCCTTTGGACAGATCCCTTTGAGTACGGCCTATGTAACTAGTTCCACAGGAGCAGTTGAACCCACACATCCACATTAAAGTGGCCATTATAGGTAACCTATCCTTGGTTCGTTGTGTCAGTAATGGCTTGGTTGAGAAGCCGACAAACTGTTTCGTTACATTGAATGTCTTTTCCACTGTTCTACTTAATCGGTGTGTTAAGATATCCGAAGAAATATCACCTTTGGGACTTAGGCTAAGATTTATAAGCTTCTTAGCTACATTGTCTTTCTTTATCTTCTCTCTACGTTTCGATGTGTTTAGTTATGAAGTTGTTTGCGGACAAGCATTTTGCTGTAATGTTATCTTCAGTTTATTCATTTATTCTTCAATACAGTCATCAGAACATTTGTTTTTTATTCTGTAACTCGGTTATTTGACTAGGTTTCTTTTATACTGAATAGGTGTGAAGATATAAAAGTGAATACACTAACCAGTTGTCCATGGGTTATTTCAAAAAATATTCCTATTAATATACCCATCCATTTTCTTGTTGACGAAGATATCTAGGAAAGGAATACTATTCCCTTGTTCTTCCTTACAGGTGAACTTCATAGCTGGGTGAACAGTATTGTAGGTATTCAAGAGATCATCTTTATTGTAGCCATTATTACAAATGATGAACGTATCATCTATATATCAGTGATAATAGTCTAGTTTATCAAGCGTTTCTCTAAGTGCGCCGTTTTCAAGTTCGGTCATATGATAGGAATGATGGAACACCTATACCAGAGATGTGAAAATTGTACTACCAATACACATCAACAAAGTGCTTGTTAATTTCTATAAGACTAGAGGCAAAATTTACTCCATTAACATGTTGTTATTCCTTTCTAGGCTGATGTCTGTCATGCTTATCAAGTGTTGCTCTCCAAGGGTATCAAACCTGAACACATCATAACATTCATGTATGACGATATTGCACATAATGAAGAGTAAGTTCAGATTTGTACAATAACTATGAATTCTTTTGATCTATTCATACGTATAAAAAGAATTTTATGGTACAGTTAGCTATTTTTTAGACATCATTTGAGTTGAACAATACTTCCCTGTCTGCCATTTAACGAGTTGCAGATGGTGCCACTTTAGTCCTCGTTCGGTACCTGTAGTAGTCACTATACGTCGCAGAACGACAAATATTGGATTATTCTGACCATTCGATATCAAGACAGTTTTCGATTGTAAGCTCATCTGTAACATGTCCTTGGTTTCACGAGACCAGACTTAATTGGGTTGCGTTTTCTTAGGTAAGAGTGAAGCATCGACTAAAAGACACTGACAATCTAAGAATTGACAGAGTGCCTGAGAAATCATGCAAGTAGCCCATCACTGTCACCTAATTCTAGCTAGTCTTCCAGCTTGTTCCTGTGACAGTCAGAAAACTCAGTGTGTTTGTGCGGTTCTCCATCAAGACCATTATAACCAAAGATGTTGGCTAATTTTTCATAGCTCGTTGATACTTCTTAGTGTGAAACATGAAAGGGTTACCTAGTTTGGGCTTGCCAACGTCCAGTAAGTTTATCTCTGATGTAACAATAATTACTCAATTGAAGACAGTATGGAATTCCCAGTTTGATCTCTCAACAAATTTATTCGCTGTACAATATCTGTAAACTGAAAAATCATATCAGCTGAATAATGTTAATGACAACAGTGTGATAAACAGTGATACAAAGAGACCAGTTGTTTTTGGGTCATCAAGTAGTTTGTGAGTATATTGTTTCACCGCAATGTGTGTGGAAGGTGAATAGAAAAGCACCCTTAAATCTCCTGGAGGTTCACTCACATTTTTAAAAATGCCAACTCCAGTTAATCGTTCCACAGACAGCCAAATGATGTGCTGTTGTGTGCTCACTGGCCCATTGCGATCTACTATGATATTTCTCAGTAATTTTGTTGTTAGTCTAAAGACAGTGATGAGGTTTGAAGAATGCTCAAAAACACATTTTACGTTTTATGTAGGCCGCTATAATAACCTATGAAAAGTATCTTGAAACAAATCACTTGTCCCTTCACCAAGGAATATAACGCCGTCCATTATTAACTTATATTTCTTCATACAGGAATCCTTTCCCTGGACGGATTTTCAATGACTACCATCACAAGGACTACTACAAAGGAGTTGTAATTGACTACAAAGGCAAGGTAGGTGATGCACTTAGTTATTCTTGTATTTCAAGAAGAATTTTGACCTGTGGAAGGAGCTGAGAGGAATTTCATGGATTCGAAAGTAGTAGTAGTAGTAGTAGTAGTAGTAGTAGTAGTAGTAGTAGTAGTAGTAGTAGTAGTAGTAGTAGTAGTAGTAGTAGTAGTAGTAGTAGTAGTGGTAGTAGATGAGGTTGTTGTTCTTGTCATCTGCTTGTAAATGTCTGGTTCTCATTTCATTTCTTTGTGGCAAATTTGATTTGAAATCTTTGGGGCAATAGATTTTTTGTTGATAAGACTGGTTGTAGTAGCTTTATTTGATAGACGGGAATCAGAATGGAGGTAGAATAGCTGACATTGGCTGTAATTCTGTCTGTTCATGTGATTCATAAATTTAACAGTTGTTCTCCATTCCTATTTCAGAACAGACTTGATTGGGACTGAAATGTCCTTTTTGATAGCCAATATCATAAAAATGAAAGGACATTCTCATTACACTTAGGCACCAGAACATAACTGATGGTGAGTGAATGAATGAAACATATCCAAAAACTTTGTGTATGTTCATGCAGTGAGCAGCGAGACACATTACTTGTGTGAGGGCGAGTGATACTACCTGACTGTCCAAACCTCGATAGGTGGAGAGGCTCCAGAACCTGTGACCTATTAGTCGAAAGTCAACTCCCTAATACAAAGAGCCACAGATCATGGTGAATGAACTCCAACTGATCCTGATATGGTTCAGTAGGAAAAGAGGTGGGCAGATAACTCTAAGGCCATTTATGAGTTTCATTGTTATTCAAGTTTAACGTGGTAACCATGGCAATCAACCATCCTTCAAGTGTTTCTGAGAATTATCTGATTACCTGTTGGATTCCCGAGATCTAGACGATTAGTTGTGAATCATTGAATGACTGAAATCCTCCTTTTGTGACTGACTGCCTTAGGACTTAAGAGTGTGGAATAAAAATATCTCCTTCATATTACTAGAAACTTTTGCTGAGAACCAAGTGAAGCACTGTGGATCTTATGATTTTGTTAGAAGTCTTAAGAAGCTGCAATTAAATGATGTTGAACACCACAAGCTTAGAATATGAATGATGTAATAACAATGTCATCTGAATTAGCAGCATTCAGAACTCAGCTGTGAACTACATTCTTATCATGTTCTTCTTAACCTTTTTATCTAAGAATTTGTGAATCAGTCATCAACCAGTTGTTTAACCATTTTATTGTTGTAGTCATAATGTTTTTTCTCGTTTGAATTTTGAATATCAATGTTGATTGCTTCTGTCCTAACAACTGTTTTCATTCCCTCATCAGTCTGCCTATGCTGACTTTGTTGGTTAATTTGCCTCATATGGAGTCAATATGGTTATGAATTGATTGTGATCTGTCTCATTACTTACAAGATATTCGTAGTTTAGTTAATTTCGCCTGTTTAGGAAGTATTCATCTTTGGGCATTTCAACATCTTGGTTTTCTCAATCTATCTATCTCTTTTGGAAGTATATCAGAAGTATATAATTTGGCGATATACATTAGTGTAACGTTCTGGAAACTCCTTGATTCAAAGTCAGCACATATTTCACCTCAATCTCTTTCTACTTCTTTTTTAATGACGAATTCTATTTTGAGTATTTGATGCGTGTGAAATGTCATTGGATTACTGTGATGGATGTTTAGCTAAAATCTTCACTAAGCCCAACACTTCACTGAACTACATACCATTTCTAAACAGAATGTTTGAGGGGACAAATTGTAGGTTTAGAAATGATTTTCCTAATTATTCTTTTTAAAATCTTAGTCATAATTGGCCAGTTAATACACAGAATTTACTTCCAATTCTATGTTTTGACGGCCGGTGTGTGTTCATGAAGAGGACAGCAGTATTCTGAAGTCATACACAGGTGATCAATAAAATCTAGTAGCTCCATACTGATTGAAGTAAATTCATATCTTCAACGCATCATCATCTTGTGAGACATTATCACCTTGTATCCATTCCTCATTCATTATGTACAGTGACATGATTACATAGTTGCTTCCTCGTTTGTTTCAGATGGTCAATATCATCTTATACAACAACACTTAGAACACATTTCTGAAGCAAATTTAACCGTCGTCAACTACCTGGAATCGGTCTATAAAATCGCAAACAGTCTAATGGAACGCATCAATCTCTCAGTAAAGCTGGACTTTTGCCTTCCTCTAACATTCTAGGTCTAATAAAATGACTGTTTAATAAGATCTAACATATCAGTACACCAGGTACAATGGATGAAGATCTCAAATTACTGACAAAAATACTTATGGGAAATGGATATTCGTTGAAGTTTATGAAGCGTTGAAGAAGTCAGGTAGCACCGAAGCTAACTACATACGCGGTTTCTGAGGAAAGAGGGGAGTTGAATAGCATCATTTTGAGACGTAGACTGAAATCAGCCATTTATTATTTATTTTTATTTATCCTTTGGGTTCCTAGTGGAACATAAGGCTTCACTTGCACATCGCCATTGCACTCTCTTCTCTGCAGTCTTTTCAACCTGTCTCCACCACTCTTCACAACCTTTCATTTCTTAATCACACACCATCTCCTCCATTATAAATGAAATATATTTTCAAGTTGTTATTCATCGAAGACTGACATCAGTTGGAGGAACAAAGGAAACCTGGGAGCACTGGACAGCCGTTTCGTCCTAGTATGGGACTCCTCAGCAATGCGCGCCCACGACCCCACCAACAGGGATCGAACCCGCGACCTTCAGGTTCCGCGACCAGCGCGTTACCATTGAGCCACTGGGTCAGAATCCAATAGGAATCCATACTAGGACGAAACAGCTGTCCAGTGCTCCCAGGTTTCCTTTGTTCCTCCAACTGATGTCAGTCTTCGATGAATAACAACTTGAAATATTTCCAAATCTCCACAACCCCCTCGAAATATATTTTGTAAAATCCCAATGAAGTAGAAGAATAAATTTCTGACGTTTCACGACTTTGTGGAAATCGCTTCTTCACAGAATTAAACCTGTACAAATTGTCGAATAGTTTAAATAGTAAAAGGTGACGAATCAGATCACATTGTCTGTACATTATGAATGTTATCGTTACGCTTGTCAGGACGCGTTTACAATTTGTTTTTGTTTATGAGTTAATTAGTCTGAAGATCAAGGTGATATGAATATGTGTATATGTGACTGGGTATGAAAAAATAATGAATAAATAATATGGAAGACAAAATTCGGTTTGTTTGTATGTATGTACTTTTGACCAGATCATTGTGTGATGTGTTGTTTCTGGTTTTGGAAATACTATCCAGGTTGGTTGGATAGTTAGGCCTTCCTTTCTGTTACCCTAGTACATAATGTGAAATGCCACTGCTATTCTTCTTTCTTTGTAGTTTGAAAAACTCTTTTGAATAATTTTCATATTTTCAATATCTATTTTGTGACTGTGATATATGACGTGAACAGCTATCGCTGACTTGATTTGTAGGTTCTATAGTTCTACAGGATTATTTGGCGGTCGTTTTGGGTAGCTTGCATGTTCTTTAGCCCTAATGAGGATCTCATGGGATGATTCTCCAATATAATAAGCATCACAGTCGACACAGCCTAATTTGTAGACAGAATTTTGTGTGGAGGTGAAACGAAGTTAATCAACACTTATTCTCCACATATCAAGTTCATATGTGAACATGAAAATATAAGCAGGGAACAACCTTTTCTACACTGTTTAGTTAAAAGGAATGGAAGTCTAAGTTTATCTACTTATCGTAAACCAAAACATTCAAATCGATATTTTAACTCAGCACATCCACTCAGTGCTAAGCTTTCACAAATTAGGTTGTGTCTACCGTGATGCTTATTATGTGGGAGAATCATCCCGTGAGATCCTCATTAGGGCTAAAGAACACTTTGACACCCAGTTACATGTACACATATTCACATCACCTTGAACTCCAGACTAATTAACTCATAAACAAAAACAAATTGTAAACGCGTCCTGACCAGCGTAACGATAACATTCATCATGTATAGACAATGTAATCTGATTCGTCACCTTTTACTATTTAAACTATTCGATAATTTGTACAGGTTTTATTCTGTGAAGAAGCGATTTCCACAAAGTCGTGAAACGTCAGAAATTTATTCTTCTACTTCATTAGGATTTTACAAAATATATTTCATTTATAATCCAATTACCCGATGCTCAACTTATTCAACTCTATCAGATCAAATTTTGATCCTGAAGTTTACATCTCCTCCATGTCACTCTCGGATGCTCAACTCATCGTTTCCCATTTCGGTTCCACTCGAGGGCCTGGTTTGATGCGTGATGTTCCCAATCGGTCTTCTCAGTGCATATCCAGTCCAATCCATCTCTACTCTCTTCTACTGCATATTTGTTGGTCGATGGCTTCTTGGTTGTTTCGTTGACGGAGTGAGTTCCTTGTTGCACATTCTTTCTGGCAATCCATCTAATCTTCAATATCGAGTGAGCGTAGACGGCAGCTGTTGATGAGTTTCTGTAATCTGTTGGAAGTGATTTTCGTAACGTAGTGCCAAGTCTCTCAACTACCAAACAGAAGCACTGACTTAACGTTGGTGCTAAAATTCTGGACCTTGTGCTTTATACTGAACGCAGTAGATCTCCACATTGGTTTCAGATTAATGAAGGCTTGTCTGGCTTTTCCGACCCCCGCTTTGACATCCTCATCCGAACCACCACTGCCACCTGTAGTTGAAGCGATGCTGCCCAAGTAGGTAGGTGAAAGACAGTACTTCCTTTACGTTTCTCCCGTCCATGGTGATTAGTGTTGTTGGTTGGGTATCTTCACCACCTCTGTCTTCTCTGCATTCACTTGATATCCTGTTTTCTGTGTCTCTTCTGTCAAATTGCTGGTTTCGGCCGGAAAACCTTTGGGTGTGCACGACAAGACATTAGACGGTGGCGAAATCCAAATCTTCTTCTAGGGTCTTTTCATAGGCCCATTCAGTGTATGTCTATCTTCTCGCTCCTAACAGTTTGTTGCATGCTCCCGTCTAGTCCATCACAATCAGGAAGATGATCCGTGATAGTAGACAGCATTGTCTTACTCCTATCTTCACCTCAAAGGCGTCACTGAGCTTTACAATGTGAATAAATTGGCATTTAGCATCATATAACATATAGCGGTTGAATGAGGTTGATAAAGGCTTGTGGCACTCCGTAGAGTTGAAGCAATTTTCAGATTACTTATCGGTCGACACTGTCGATGGCCTTTTCAAAGTCGACGCAGCTGAGATTGAGTTGACTGCCATTCTATACTCTGTTCTATGATGATGCATGACGTAGCGTTGCAATTTCATCCACACATGATTTGTTCTTCCTGAGGCCAGCCAGCCAGCCAGCCTGTTCCGTCGTAATTTCGAATTCACAGCATTCTTTAGTCTCTCCAGGATGATGCGGTTTAATATGTTGGTTGGGGTGGACAGGAGAATGATTCCTCGCCACAGCTTGCAAAGACTTGGGTCCGGCTTTTTTTGGAGTTTGATAAGGTAGCCTTTCTTCTAATCGGCAGGTACCTTTCTTTTCATTCCTTCGAAACCTTCTGCAGTAGTGGTGTGAGCACGTCTGCTGTTGTCTCTGCGTCTGTTTTCAGTGCTTCTGGTGGAATTCCATCTGGTTCTGCTGCTTTCCCGGATTTCAGTAACTTTGTGGCGTTCACGACTTCACTCCCGATTTTGTTTGAGGGCTTGTGTTCACTAGTAGTTCTGCGGTTGCTGGCGGTATTTCTCGAAGAAGTGCAGGTGGTGGTCGATTCAAGGAAACATGGTACCCAGTTTATCTTATCATTGTGGAAAAAGAAAATAGAGCTTCACCAAAAACCTAAACACCGCATCAATAATTACGTTACACCCCATTGTGTTTACCAATTCACATGTGTGTGTGCATGTGTGTGTGTGTATGTGTTTGGTCACACATACATACGCAGGAGTAATCGAGTCATACAGCTGAGGGTGAGAGAACATGTACCTAAATGGCTTCAAGAACAAATATAGTGCAAAATCTTGATAAACCCTGATGAGAGACCACCTTCTTCATCTATAGCTAAACATATCATAGAAACAGGTCACAAAATGCCTAATGTTCAGACAGCTTTCAAGGTTTTCTATAGAAATAGTCAAGAATGTATACTGAGATTTGCGGAAGCCATACCAAGATCAGGATCAACTATGCCACTCTTGCTGTTTCTTCTCATATTTCTTAATTTTAATCCCCTATTGTGTTAATTGTTGTATTTATACTCCCACTTTTCGGTTTAATATGTGATCAGAATGTTCGAAACATGTACTGCACAAATACATCACATATAGTTTGTTCAAATAAACTTCGTCTTCTAATTACGCTATCGAAATTCATAAAAGAGACTAACTGTTTCAAATTAACGTCCATTTATTTTAAATTGTAGGCGGTTAATCCGAAGACCTTTTTGCAAGTACTCAGGGGTGATAAAATGGATGGTAGAAAAGTTTTGAAGAGGTGAGTTAAAATGCTTTATCACTTCTGAAGAACTAACATCTTGTTAACATTTTTTTAATCAACAAATTCATAAGATTACTGGCTTTCAGCCCTTTCAAACTCATCAGCTGGATGAATCCACTAGTATTCCAGACACAGAAAATAAGTGAAGTAGTCAGTTGAAATACTATACAAACAGGAAAACATGAAATTCAGATGAGACCATATAAGTGCACATTTTCTAGCAGATAACAACAGTTCTGTTGCATCACTTACACGAAATCAAATAAATTCAGGATAGATTTATGTCAAATTTCATCTCATGGAAAAACTAGGGAAGACTAGGAACTGTCTGTTAGTGAAATCAAACGAGTTTAGAAGTTTTCAATCACTCGTAGGTGATAGAAATCGTGATCCTCTTTCCTCATTATGAGCACGCTGATGTTCAGTCACTTGTTTGGAATTCAGTGATTTGCATTTTGAAAATTTCAGTAACTATCAATAAAATTTGGTCATTGCCTACTTTCACCACTAGACAACCATACTCACTGTGAAATTGTTTAATGCCATAGGCTAAAGCATATCGAAATCATTAAATCAACTCCATTTTGAGGTGGGTGAACGGTTATTCTTGCTATTTATTTTGATGTCAACGTAGTTTCTGTCGAACAATAAAGTCTGGTACAGAGTTATCCACAATTTTACTTAATTCACTAGATATCTTGTGCTGTGTTTAACTTTGGAAGTCAATCAGTTTTGCAGAAGAGAAGCATAATTGTCCAGTCTACTCTGCATACAAATGAAAAATTTGATAATGTACTGTGTAGTATTATCGTTCATTTGGAAGATGAAGGTTATTCTATCCTCTCTGAAATATCTATCATTTACGCATCTCTCTCAACATAGAAAGGTATATTTTTTAAACCTCTGTCAGCTTTCAAAGGTGTGCATAACGATTTCGACGTCTAATCCTCCTTTGCAGTTCTGTCGTCTTCCATTCGAGGAGATTTTCGCTTTGTTATATTTTTAGTCGAATTTCATGAATTTTTAGAGGAAACAGAGATCTAGACGAGTGAATGATTTCCGTTTTATTACCTAAACAGTTCACATTTGATCACTGTATAACATTAAGTCTCATCCTATAACAAAGATGGTGAGCTCTTGTGTAATTTATTTTTCAGTGGGAAAAAAGATGATGTATTCATATACTTTACGGATCATGGTGCTCCTGGTTTGATTGCATTCCCTGATGATGACGTAAGTTTATAATTCCATTAAAATATACATTCGAACAAGGGTGAATCCTTGCAAACTACTCAATCTGATCTTATCAGTGAAAGCTCTTATACGTGTGAGTGAATTCAAAACACGCATATAGCTAGCTAACAAATATCCTAATCCGAAAACCCTAATACTCTATGATAGGTGTGTTAAATTTCGACAACGTTACATATTCTGTAACCGTACATAATTCATTCTGTACTTCATTGAAAGCGTTTCATTGTTTAAGTGGTTGGAACTGATAGAATGAAGTGAAATATTACTACCTACTAACTCATTTAAACCAATTCGTTACATTACTATTTGTATTCTCTAGCGACTTGAAAATGACACGAAATATTTAGACCATTGGGTTTCAGATTTGTTTGGACATATGTAAACTGTCTATAATCCTTATGAACCCAATCACTATTTGACATCATGATTCAGTGTCTTTGATTAGACAGAAATGAAAACGCTAAAGCGTTGTCGGCTTCACCAATGATTCACCATAGCCTTTGGTTACAGGCTTACAGACCATAGAATCCACGTCTTATAAGGAATGGGTGTCGTAACCAGGCGGTTTACTAGATAACTGGATGGCGTCTTAGGCCATTTAGCCTTGACTTGAATCTTCGTGGGAATATCACCAGTCACTGGGAAGAAGATACATCTAACTGAAGAGTCAAAAAAGGAGAGACATATGTCCTGAACACCACTGCTAGACACATACCATCATTGGTATATAGTTACTTCTTAATTTTGAGGACTGATAAAGAAGCACTACTTGTTTGTTATTGAAGTGTTTCCTTCTAAAGCATCAGAACTTCTCACAGTCCTAGAATGACCACTCACTAGATCCATTTCAATGGGAACAAGTAGAGTCCGGCACCGTTTTCACCTATTCCGAGATATTTATCTAAACACACGGCTATAAGCATGCTGACATCACAGGAAGTGCATCTGTTACTATCTAAGTAACAAAGCTGAACTAATCAGTCTACTGGATTTCAATTGAGTAATTCACCTGGGGGAACTCTTCCGTTTGTTTGAATCTGACACCATAGTAGATTCTTAGTTGGATGTTATTCACAGCATCTATGCGTCAGTCATCGGGTTTATCCACCCAAATATGTGACAGTCACAGAGTACAAAATGTGATTACAATCAGCTCAGGCACGGCTATGGTTACCATGGTCAAGTCTTATCATACCTTGATATGATACCCTGGTGTTTATTCGAACTGATGATTTGAAGAATTCGATCGACCACTATCAACCAATAAACTGAAACCTCCAAGTCCTATATGAGGTCAAATAGGACACATAGAGTTATGTGGAAACCATCGATCAATAGTGTTTTTCACTTATTAAGTAGAAATACACAAACTTAAATTTGGATAGAAATAGTGCTTTACAGATTAGCTAACAAACAAAATGGTTACAAATACTTATATTGGGAGATGATTGAAGGTGAGATGAAAATCTGGACAGCTACCGGACTCGAACCAACAGCCACCCGGTAGTCAAATGATGACTACAAATACTTCGGTTTCCAACCACCTATAACATAGGTCTACCCACTTCTATTATCAACCTCATATACACAAACGTTTGACATTTACAAATATCACCATTCATATGGTGCGGAATATGATTAGTAGTAATTCATTCACTGTTTCTCTACCTTCCATAGCTAAGTGCCAATGATTTCATGAAGACACTTAAGTACATGCACAAACATAAACGGTATTCGAGATTAGTTATTTATATTGAAGCATGTGAATCTGGTTCAATGTTCGACAAGATTCTACCATCGAATATGAACAGTGAGTTCACATTTTACCATTATTCAATGTATTCTGAGCACAAAAATTCCCATACTCTGTTGATAGTTGAGTTAGTTTTATTCTAAGATGATATAAGGCAAAACTTAACAAATATCATTGAATTTAGTAATCCATCCTCAAATTTTGTGCATTAAGATTGAGTGAGTTGGAGTTGAGGACTTTATCTATGTGCCTACTGTATGTGATTATTGAGTGTGTCTATGTGTGTGCCTACCTCAAGTTAAAGTGACCCTCACTTCGATCCATACTTCATCAGTATTGTTTTATAACTTAGTCGGAAATTGTGAACCACTGAAAACCGACCCAGTGGCTGAATGGTTAACGCGTTCACCGTGTAACCTGGGTTTCCTGAGTTCGATCCCTAGCCGAGTCGTGGGTGCGTACTGCTGAGGAGTTCCATACTAAGACGAAATGGCAATCTAGTGCTCCCTAGTTTTCGATGGTCCCCCAACTGATATCAGTCCATGATGAATACTACTTCTAAATTATAACTTGGTTGCTTATGCAGTTTTGGTTCAATGATTTAGATCGTTGAGTCGAATGATCACGCCTTCCAAATTCCCACCACCTTCCATGGTATAAACAAGCACTCTGTATAATTATTCCCCACAAAATTGGTGTGGTTCACTTCATCGAGTGGGTATATGAACAATGTTGATGAGTGTGTGAGAAACCTCTTAAGAAAATATAATCGTTTCACTTGGTATTTTTGGAATGAGAGATACTCAGTTTATTGAATGACATGAGTGACTAAGGTGACTTTGAACTTGTTACTTCGCACATTCGAAGTGAAGATAAGTACTACATATTGGTTGTTTGACTCATTTTAACCGGAAGTCGAGATGTTTCATGACTGCTGTTTGAACACATTTTACGACAGGGAGGGCAGTTAGTTGGACTGACTGGGTGACAGCAGAAGCTTAGTTAGTAATACTAGTCCTTACCAAATTATTTGATGTCATTCATATTCTCACCTTCGAGTATCTGAATTCTGCCATCATGCCATCATGACGGTTACAGTTAATTGAGATGAACGAGTCAATTTCAAAGCTTGAGAGTAATACATGTAATACAGGACAACGCCAAAATTTTGATTAGTCCAATTGTCTCACGTAATAGTCATCTTATCTTATGCGGTGAATCACAATGAAGATGCTGACCATCTCCTTAAAAACTGTCATTTCATAGAGACACAATCCACACCAGCTATTTCATTGTTATGCTCTTGTACACATCATTTTATTAGGCTTGTATCAAACGTTCCATAGTAAATTCATCATTTTCTAAATCAAACTTATACAACATATTTTCTGATGCTTAGAAATATTAAAATGTTTAAGACCTTGATTATTGCAGAAATCTGTAACATGACTAGTCAGTCAAATGACATGAATTAAAATGCATTCCTGGGAACACTGAAATCGATCCAGCTGACTGTATAAAAAAATTACAATAGCATATCCATCACTTCATTTAGGAGTGGCCAATACTTTCTGAACGATTGTTAACCTGTAATTAACTCTTTGAGGATAAATAAATTTGAAAGACGTCATCCACTAGCTCTCTTCATATTCATATCTACATTTCAGCAAAAAAATTAACACATTCATTCCACTTTCAGGAATGATTTATGAGCACTAAGTAGTAAATTGTTTGGAATAAACATCTGGAATGGTTATTTATGGGGTTTATCAAGATTTTCTACCTTCAAATTTGTTTGAATTCATGTCAGTTAGATGTTATCAGAATGTCACCTAGTGATCTGACAATTAGATTTCTTCAGTTATCTCTTGCTTAATGATTTAAAATTACATGTCAACATAAGGACAATCATTATTGTTCATCTCGATGGAAAGGAAGAACATCAACGCCGATTTGATTAAACAGGCTGACATTACGATAATTTCCAATATTGTCGGATTTTACTTCTAAAATCAGATACATGTACGCAGATAAATTTCGATGCAAGTATGGATAATATGTTATCAAGATTTTTGATGCAAAAACGAAGCATTTCCATATTACAGATGGCTCTATGATCACTTTGTCTCAAGAAAGTTCTTATAGCTAAAAGTGAAGCTGTCACAGATCGTTTAGAATTATCAAGCAACTTGACCAGTAACATAGCTCGAACCAGACTTCCATGTGAAACGTTGGGATTATTTGATTTCAAACTCGCTGTGATTCGCACAAATACAGTCTATATGTAGATGCATATATATTAGATGACTAATGGATTTGATGATATGCCTTAAACATTTGTGTTTTCTTGTTTGAGCAGTTTACGCAACAACGGCGGCAAGACCGGATGAATCTAGTTGGGGTACATTTTGTGATGATCCAGAAATTGCAACTTGCTTGGCAGATTTATATTCATACGATTGGATTGTTGATTCACAGACTGTACGTTTGACTTCTTTGCAATAACTAGTCATTGTATCCGATGTTTTTGCATATGTCTGAAGTCCTGTAGTCGCTAAAAAAAAATAGCATATTTCAGTAGCTCTGGTTACAACTGGTCCCTACAGCATGAAACAAAATCATGGAAATTCTCCTTCTGAAACCATTTTGTGAAATTTCAATTCTATGTTAAATTTATTTATTTGATATACATCGCACTGTAAGCGATGCAGTATCATTTACTTGATGATGACGTTTCGAGCATAAATTATTACTGTTCATAATCATATCAGGTATCATCATACGCCTTTTGATATCTGATTTTCATGATCATGTCACCTGATATTCTTTGATATTATTGGTAGTAAAGGTTTGCACATCTACGATATAGGTGTTGTGTCATCGCTATTCCATGTACTGGGGGTTGGCTGATTCAATGAACAGAGACTCCGAAAACAATCTGTCTCTCTACCGAATTATATTGAACCTGAGTGCAGTGATTTTATCGCACCCATCCTATTGTGTGGTTGTGTGTTAATGCATGCACTGCAATAGTCGAGTTACCTTCTACATTCTTGATCTTATTCGGGTCTCTCCGTCTATATTTAGCTCATTTCCTATGTTCCGCTAATCTGACTGACCCCAACCGGCTAGTTTACCTATGTGATTGACCTTACAGCCATTGCATGGAATTTAGTAGAGAGTGGATTATTTTGTTTAATTGGATCTATAAGATCCTTAAGCCAACCGACAAAGCTAATCTCTGAGTGAATTCGTAGGTTTAACTGCTTAAGTAATTATAGCCTTGTTGAGAATCATACGTGCAGTTCCTAATATTCTATCCCTATGGCGTAACACTATGGAGGCTGTGAACTCCCTTCTACTCACATTGTCGGTATTATTCGTACTCCTGTCATTGTTTTTATTTCATTTCCGATGTATTCGTAAGAATTTCTTAATAAACTGTGGAAGATAGTTATTAAGCATTAGTGCTTATTTTATGTGTTTCAATTCCTTGTTTAGGTCGTTGCACTGACTAGTCAGTTTTCTAGCTCTATCATTTAGACATTTGACTCAACAGAAGGAGTAGTAATGGCATCACCAATATCTCCAATCACAGCGAATTAACTTGTCGAATGGCTTTCCAAACGTTTAATCCCACACCTGAGATATGCTGACCATATGTAGATGACACATTTACTGTTTTTTTAATCGGAACATATCAACAATTTCCTAGCACACATCAACTCAGTAGTAAGTGGAATCCAATTCACTTATGAGGTGGAAAATGAACAAGGAGAATTAATTACCTATGTTGAATTGCTGGATAAAACAAAGGACAGATGGTGGTTTGGATACTACTGTCTACAGAAAACCGACACATTCTAACAGGTATCTAGACTTCACGTCATCTCATCCAATGTCAGTTAAGGTTGGTTTAGTCAAATGTCTAAATGATAGAGCTAGGAAATCCACCAATCATTGTAAGGAATTAATGAAGGAACTGAGACACATAAAACAAGCACTAGTAGTTAATTACAATCCTCGTAGTATTCTCAGTAAGGTTGGAATTAGGGTGGCATTTAAACCTACGAACTCACTCAGAGATAAGCTCTGTCGGCTGGTTTAAGGATTCGATAGAATCAATTAATCAAAATAATCTAATCCACCGAATTTCCTGTAATGACTGTGAAGTCAAATAAATAGGAGAGAGAGAAAGAGAGGCAGAAACTGATTACTGAATCTTTGTACATCGAATCAGCCAATATCCAACACATATAACAGGGGTGACGCAACACCTATACCAGGGATGTGGAAACCTTTACCACCAATAATATCAAAGAATATCAGGTGACAGGACTATAAAATTCACAGATCGAAAGTAGTGTAAATTCATTGGTATGGTTATGAGGAGTAATTTATGCTGGAAAAGTTATCAAGTAAATAATACTATATCACTGTGTTATAAATGAAATAAAAAAATCTCCTATAGAGTTAACTTCTACCACAGTGCCAAAGTTCAACACTTATACTTGTGTAATTCTCACCGAATATCCCTTATATATTCTGTAATTTACGATCAGCGAGTGACAAGTTTTATGTTGTGCTGTAACTAGTGATAAGAGAGTCATAACTCTCACCTTCAATGATACAGCAATTTGGTGATGTGTAACGGTTCCTGTCATTCAAAACTACTTTTCAGCTTCGATAGTTCGGGATGCTTAGCCGATGATGAATAGCCGAACAATCTGGGTCGATTTAATTTGATTCTACTAGTTTAAAAGTTGGAACAGAATAGAAAACACCCTGAGATCGATATGGAATAAGTACGAGAATGCATGTTTGCATCTGTCAACTGAGTCGACCAGCACATATACACCAGTGTGATGATATGAATCTTCACTGTAATTTGTGAATGGTACATCATGCTATATCATCAGGAACTTGTGTCATTAGTAGGCAAGCAGCAGAAGAAGTTTTGGCAGTAATTTCTCGCTGATGGAAACTTGATTCTAGTAGACATCTAGCGAACAGAGTGTAGAGAACATGATCTGAGTCTACGATGGGTAAAGAATTGCATAAGCCAACCGATGCGTCGTGAGAAAGTGAATACGCAGAGAACTTTCTACAGAAGAATAAAATAAAGGGGAACAATAAGATATTGAATTACGTCTCCCAATACAGTCAACTATTCCTATGATTTCAGTATCATGGAGATAATTTAAATGAGGCGCCAATGCCCATCCAGATCTACGTCATATTCAAACTAGACTTTCTTGAAGCCGATTACCACTAAAGCATTCACAACCACACCTGTCTCTTCAGCACTCAGTCAAGACAGACTTCCTCACATATTCATGCAAATCTGCACACACATTCTCACTCATCTAGTTAAACAAACTACTGCTTACAACCACAATTTCATGATCATTGAGAAGATGACGTTCTCAGCATGTGTGTATGTAAGCGTTGAACTTTATGCAGCCTCAAGGAAAATATGTGTACACCTCGTTGTTTGGTTGTTGGCTAAACTTTGATTTTCTACATTAAGATCAAGTGATATCCTTACTCTTCAACATATCTCTTTACATATCTTTCAGCATGAATTGACGAGACGAACTCTTGACGATCAATTTAAAGAGGTCAAAATTGAGACGAATCTTAGTCATGTTCAGAAATATGGCGACAAGGTAGATGGTTAATTAGTTTTTCACTAATCTCTGATGCACTTTCATGTTTGCTTAAATTATTAGTTGTTGTAAAGAGGTTTGATTGTTTGAAGCCTCAGTTGTAAATGTCCTGGCAGTTAGAGTACCGGACCACCTTTACTTTCCACAGGAGGTCTTCCTATATCAGTCTGATTGCTGTTCTCAGCATTCCAGGGACGATCACAGCATAACATGTTGGTAAGCAGTAAGATTTACTGTGCACCTAATAACACACACCTGAAATGCTAATCTGATTACCCAACAAGACTGAAATATGAATGAAACTTCAGCCTACAAACTAATGTAGACATAGTATTCGAGGGCCGAAACACCATTTCTACTTTGTTTGTCAAGATAAGTGAGATGACAGATATTCAAGCTGCCAATTTTCCTCACATCTTGTACGATGTGTGTGGAGTTGTGATTCCTGAGCTAAGGAATATCCTAGCAACAACTACTAAAGTCATATTGTGGTCTGACCACAACTCGAGTTCCCCCAATCTACTTCAGCATCAGTATACACCAGTCGCTACTCAAGCCAACAGTTCACTTCCACTATGAGTTGAAATCAAAGAGGCTACCACTTCACCAACACTTTGATAGTGTTCACACCGAATTCTTGGAACCCTGTGGACACGGAATGGATGGGAATATAGAGTCATTGATAACCATTGTCCTAGAGAGATTCTGAACCTCACAGGTACTGTGCAGTACTGGTCACATAAAACCACTTCTCATCCGATCATTCATAGTCAAAGTAATGTCGTGATATTCACAAAGTATTCCATTGGAGTACATTCTCCTCCAGTTATTCATTTCGAACAATGTTTGTGTGATCCAAATAAAAATCACCTCCTTCATAATAAGTTAGATGAACTGATATTTACCTAGTGGGAGTGCTTCACCATGCAAAAACAGTCTTTGTCAAGCTTGAAATTGAGTAGCACAGGAAATGTGGACAGCCAGTTGATCAGTGAAATTTGGTTGAGAAACATGGTGTTAGGTAATAGAAGGGTTTCATGTGAATAATGGAGGTGGAGAAAGCCGTCTCCGAGTTGAGCCCTAGCCACACACTTCCTATGCAGCTTTGACACGTAAGTCATCGATGATGAAGTCAAGAGGTAGTAAAGAAATCTACCTATCTCGCTCATTCATCGTGGTTATCTTTGACAACCTGGAGGTAGTGAATAACATACATCCCCTTCGAGAGCATTCACATACTACTTATGAGGACATATGAACTGAAGGCAATATCAAATCGCCAACCTCAGTTTTTAGCAGTAGGTAACCAAAATGCCAGAAGTGGGTACACCATTGGGCCCAGTTAAGCGAAGTGTGGAAACAGTCAGCTAGTGGGTAGCAAGAAATATCCCCTTGATAATCACAAAGTTTAAATATATGGACTAGGTGATTAGGTGCAGAAATGGTCTAATTCTAAACCAACTTAATACCTCCACTCCACTTCCCACCTTATCACTGAGTCACTTCTGAACCATGACTGGTGTTTCAGTTCCACCACTGAGGGCATCAAGAGATAACTATCCATTACAGAATATCAATATCATCTTTAATCATTAGCTACCTAGCAGGTCTTTCCTATTTCGAACACTAAGAGTTGAATGACTATGAACCGTATATAAATGAAAAATGCCTTTTGAAACTCACCAATCACATTTCTTGATGCCTTAAAATTCCTGGTTGGTGCAATTTCTCAATTCATACTAACTGTTTTACACCGACATATCCCAATCAACAATTTCAAATAAGCCTGATAAGTAACAATCTACTGTCTAAAATTCATTCATTTTATCGTCTTCATCTATACTTTCGACAGTCAATGGGCAGATTGAAACTCAGCGATTTCCAAGGAAGTCGAAAGAAGATGTCGAATGAAAGTAATTGGTCTACAATGAAGGTATGTGATCTACATTTCAGTCAATTAACTCACACATCTATGTGTTTTTCAAGCATTTCATATTTTGGATGACTTTGATCACCTTTCAAATCCGAATTCATCTATCTGGTGATTAATTTATAAGATTGATTTGGCTTTATTAACTGAGTGATGAAGCCTGATAACTTCGTGTAAAAGTGATTATCTTTCAACCTTAGAATCAATAGTTAATACTCAAGTACTAGTCAGTCTATTGCACTAATCGAAGTTCATCTGACCTCATTCTCTGCATGTCTAATAAGCTTTATGATTCAATTTAACAAATATTGGTTGATAGAAGCTAAATGGATTCCTTTACAATCTATCTTTCTATACCTTTCAACTTCAAGAGATACTCCAACATGTTGTGTATGTAAGAAATTGTTTGAAGTCCCTCAGATTATCCAACTGACGTAGTCTGAATGACAAGATGTAAGTGGCGTAACAGATATCCACCTTGTACAGTGGACATTCAATATCAATCCTCTTTACCATACTTGATTGATCATGTGATTCAAATGTACAGGTTGAATGACTGGGGTTGAAAGAAATGCCAGGTTGTCCAATAATTCGAATGAGTAAGTGCAACACATCCCAGACACTATAGTCAATGGTTTCATCAAAATATCTGGTCTAATTAACTGTAGGAGATTCTGTACACAATGTGTCAGAAGCCGAGGTAGACGGTGAAGTGGAGGATTTATGATTTCCTACTACCTTCACTATATTACCCTCCACCCTGTCAGCTATAAGCGTGGTTAGGTCAGGACGCTATTCACCAGGGGTAAAAACCCTGTGCTCTAAAGATAAACAAGAAGAAGAATTCAGGATAATTGAGAAGGCTCTCATAGAGAATGGATATCTGAAGAAATCCATCATGAAGGATGGAGAAGAATTTATTGAGAGACCAAGACATCCAATTGTTTAAAAGAAGCCCGTTTTACTTCGTCTAGCATTCAAAGGTGACGAGACGACCGGAACAGTAGACAGAAGAATAAACGTTGCAATGAGAAGGAGCTTCCCTACTGCCAGACTGATCTCAGTTTACAATACATTATGCTCAATAACACAGTTGAAAGTAGACAAATATCCATCTCATGTCACCTCCAACGGTGTATATCAATTCACCTGTGTTTGTGGAAGCAAGTACTTAGGAGGGACTGAGAGAAGGGCGTCCACTCGATTTTATGAGCATATTCCGAAAAGTCTGTGTCGGAATAGTAGCAACATCTTTAAGAGCCCAATCTGATGGAAATAGGACATCAAATAGATGTTTCCCAATCCTTCAGGATCATCAAAAAGAGAACAACACCATGTTTATTATGGTTTACGGGAGCTCTCACTATCATATATTTTCAGCCTGACTTATGAGCTCAGAAGGAGGCTGCAATTAATCTTTCTTTACCCTAGTAACTGTATGTAACTTGTTTTGCATGCTTATGTATATAGTCTCCCTTTTCTTTTGGTTGCATCATCTCTTCATCAATTACTTACTGACTATTAATCACTTAACAATTTTTCACTCTTTCAACTGATTACGTAACCCACTGGCTCTTTAACACCTTCTTTCACACTGATTTTCTTTCTTCCCCCCCCCTTCCCACTTCATAGCTCCAGAATTTTACATCTTATCAGATATAAATAGCCATTGATTTTGACTAAGATTTGTAAGTAATAATCCTGTGTTTCCTTGATTCACTCACCGCCTTATTGTTAATCCTTGATTTCAAATCTACATTTATTTCTGTCTGCTTAAGGTGTGTTATGCCACTACTAATATTTCCTTTCGGTTGTAGGCTGTTTGCAGCTGATGTAATCTAGTGAAACAAATTGATCTCATTTTATTCTGCAAGCATCTTTGTTCTTGTATTTTGTTCAAACTGGTGTGAATCTTGCTGAGAGGAGACAATGAATCCTGTAGCATTTATGGAGAAAGCTCATTATTTTGGCTTATCATTTAATGAGTAGTTTTTACTTGTCTCTATAGGATCAGATTACACTCAAACGCAAGTGTCAAGATCAATATATTTGACTTAATGCGATCGTTTGTTACTGATACTCGATTCGCATCATGTTTAGCTAAAAGAAAACAAACCGTTTTCATACTTCCAAAGTAATCTTAACATTTGCCACAAGTATACCACTATGAAGAGAATTGAATGTTCTGCAGCTGAGCACATTTATCAGGTCATTTGGACACTTATTCGAGTACGTGTGTGCATACATACATGAGGCTGGAAGTCAAATGAGAATTATCTGGTGATATTGAAGGCAATGGTAATATCATCGTCGGTTAATAAACTAACTAGAACATGTGATGGATTTAGACACATCTACTTTATACACACAATGGCATAAAATTATTCTACCAGGTCAATTCATCCTATTTCCTTGCATTAGATCCAACGTGATGCTTTTTTGATTTCTACTGACACGTATAAATGAAGCTTGTTTGCAACCAAAACCCTTTAATTAGCTGACAATTTTTATGAAATATTTACAACTTGCACATCTTGTAAATCAAGCAGTAATTAAATAACTTTGACTGTCTGATGAAAATATCCAATGTGAACTCATTTTTTTGTACACTTTCTACTCAGCCACGAGACTCAATACCATCTCGAGATATCCCACTACATACTCTACATCGCAAGATAATAATGACCAATGATGCAGGAAAGAAGAAGTTACTGATGGAAATTCTCGGCCTGAGACTGAAGGTGAGTGATAATAGCTATCTCTACTTTTTATATCTTTTCATGATCATTTGCATCCTGATCAGTATTATCGAGGACTCAAATGAATAGATGAGAATTTTTTGACAGAAATAGGCAATGCTGAGCGAAGTTCATATTCTTACTTTACCGGAATGACACTAGGTAAAGACCAGAGGATATTTATCATGTCATTGGTTAGGACCTACTCTGTTGGCTTGAGCTCAGTTACCGAAATTGGCTACCTTACTCAGTAGATGTTGAATACAGACTAATTTAGAGAGTTGCATAGATTTCTAACATTCTTTTATCAACTTGCTAGCATCTACTAAATTCCCAAGTGTTCCATTTTGTAAGAAACTTGCATACGCTTAGGCGAACATATTACTCTGTGGCTACTATGTTTGCAAGTAATCATTACATCATGATAACATTCTTCGGAATACTGTATAATTCATAGGCACTCTACCATATAGTTTCAGATATCTTTGAAGGCAGAATATTTTCATAGCCATGGATGCGCGCTGCCCAGGAGTCCCATACTAGGACGAAACAGCTGTCCGGTGCTCCCAGATCTCCAATGCTCCCCCAACGGACGTCACTTCATGATGAATATCAAATTAGAATGTTTTCGATCAACAGAACTATCAAGTAATCCTTCATCTACACTCCACATGTTAGATGTGAAGTAGAGTTAGCACAAACTATTGAAAACTTATGTAGTCAAAGTATGTAGTTCGTTTCATATCACGGCTGGGAGATTACAGCAAACAACCCAGTTACAATTTGACAACTCACTTTGGTAGAGATGAAAGCAGTAAAGTATGTTTGACTGGTGAATTCGAGAAGTCGGATACCAACAAACTGAAAGTAGTGGGAGTTATGTCCAACATAACATCAAATGGCTACTTAACTTTCAGTCAACTAAATCATTTGTGCACATCATCTAAGTGGAAGCAACCTAAACACTTGAAGTGCACTTCATTGTCTTCATCAGGGCACAATCTCTGTGCAGTCTAGCTGTCCTAACGATTAAAGGTGAGCTGTCTAAATCATGCTATGCAATGGAATTAAGAAATTCACCCTTCTTGTGACACAAAACTAGCCTCTTCTGACATTATCAATAATCTCTTGATTTCATGAATGTTTCCAGGAGACATCATTAGCAACAGGACAAGAAGTAGTTCGCATTCTGACCAAATGAAACGCACATTATGCAAGGGTGACGTAATCACTATAAATCCATTCTGTTCCCCACAACGAAATATTGTGTTTATACTAAACACATAGGGATTACCAATACTGACCTGAAAGTTATTTATCTTATTCTAGCTATCCTTGCATGCAACTCCCGATCCTGGTGTTTGCGGACCACAGAAGGTACTGAAGCTTCATTGGAACAAGTTGAAAACGGAAGTTGATAAGAAGAGTGTTCAACCTATTCTTCTACACTGATTATACACAGAAAATATCCAGTCATTGAGAAAAATTTAGCTAACGGAGCTCTTACCAACTAATGCATAGAATCTAATGTCATTACTGTCATTTCCTGACATTACCGACTACTTCGCTTCAACGCTTACTGACATCACATATCTAAAATGTTCATAAAAGTATGACAGATAAAGACGGTAGAACAACCAAACTATATTTTTAACACGAACGCTTATCAGTCAACATGTCAGATTACAACACTTGACTGGCAACACTCACTTTCTTATAAATACCCGCTTGTCTGAAAGATGAAGTGTGCCTTGAAATTGAGAAGTCAACTTCAGTTCTCACCTAAATATTTACACCAGAGCCATCAATAGTTAACCTTATTGGAAGACGCTGTCATTTACGGCATAGCTAGACATCAAAAAGTGTGACAAGAAAACATGCATATTTCATCAGTCACACTGAATTCGGAAGTGAAAAATCAGTAACAATTGAATATTTTCAGTCGGTGAATGTACAGCTGACTTCTAGTACATCAGAGTGCTAGCCACTTCGTATACAGAGTTGGTTGTCATGTGTCCTCCCTTCAAATGCTTACACAAAGACAGACTCAATGTTGATATTTTCAATTCACAGTTTCTTCATACAATTGAAATATCCTGTTAGTTTTCTTCTGTTTCCCTGCTCACACTATTTTACAGACATATTAATATGCTTTAAGCAACAACACTTTATAATTTTTTTCTTTCTTAGAGGAGGGAATTAGTTCAAGATACAATGGATTTGATTGTTGAGGTTATGAGTAAATCAAAGCCAACTGTTTCAAATCCGAACATTGATCAAATTTTGGATTGCACGGAATCAGTTTACAAAAAGTTCAAAAACAAATGTTTCTCAATCCAACAGGTGAGAATTGTTGCTTTGTGTTAGTTATCATTGTCATTCCTCAAATTAAGAAATGATTATGTAAACACTTCTTATTTGGATGACAGAAAATTATAGTTAAATAGTTGCGAAAACCTGTTACGTTCTTCCTCATGAGTCTAACATCAATGCACATATCTAGGTTTGTGTAGCATTATATCGTCTAGAGAATGGATGTAAAATATGTGATCAGAATGCTTTTTTCATAAAGTATAATACAAACAGTATCTATAATCACGAGATTCATATGGTATCTAGTGACTTACAGAGATACATTGACTAGTCAGTGCTAAAAAGCAGCTGAATAAACGGATATCTTTTTGCGAAAACACGATGATTAAGGCAGAGGTAGTAAGTAAATCGTATGGTTGACGTGAACTAAATGGGATCACTGATGTATATCAGGTTTCCGTATGTTGATACTCATCAACCTGAGTGTAACTCACTGCTCAAAATGATGACACTGCTAGTAATTCACTCACACTATGCTGATATCTGAACTAACCTATTAGATTTACAATGGATATATCTGACTGACGAGAATTAATAAGTAATATCCACACCTCATAGTAAGTAGACATATGCGATATCCTTTGGTACAACTGAATATAACATTTCTGTTCACTAGAGAAGCTAGGAGACTGAAGCAAGACTATACATATTCGATATTCCATCCATAGTCACCGTTAAGGTTGGTTACCTGTCACGCTTATGCTCAAAATAACACTTGTTCAATATTAGTATCAGTTTTAGATACAAAAACGAATGTTTTCTAATGACAAATGACAGTAAATACAAGCATCGTTGATCGTCTCCAATCTTTATTGGGTTTGCCACAGGATCGACTGCATGCAATTAATATGCATATGACTGACTAGAAATGCAAGTGTCAACATGATCAACTGGAGTACTGGGGAAAACTTATCGACGAACAGGTCAGATTATCAAACACAGCTTTGCATATGAGCGGTAAACAGCCAAAATTCAAATCGAAATAAAGACATTTACAGCAATGATGATACATTCTGAGCATAGACTTCATGTTTGAATATTTTGTATAACTTTTACAACCCATGTTGTCACTTGTTATATTCTTGTGTGGACAACTATATATGTGAATGCTTGGACAAAACTTTCGGATTCTATCGTTAATGGTCGCTCAGTTGATCGATAATGAAAAAGGCGGTACAACAGAAGGTGTAGTTGCGACGTCAACCTCAATAAATATATACAAAATACAACAGTTTATACATGTTAACAATGGACTTGGTTATTTTTAGGCCTTTTTAGATTGAAATCCTATTGAGTTTTCGTCTCTTTAACCTACCTGATGCTACACTTTGATTCATGTATTTCTTCCAAAAACTTTGAAGTAAAACGATAAGTTGAAAAAGGCTTTAGGCATATGTGGCTTCCTATGAAGATTTTGTCAATGAACAACTCGCAGCGAAAGTGACGAAACGTGATGATACAGTAATAGAGCACTTTCCTACCGTGATAACCATACAGTAATCAGCTACACTAAAACATGTTCCGAAATCATTAACCTAGGATTATTCCACAGCAAACTAGTGCACGAATCGTTGATTTACGACAAACCATATACAGTTTATGCGTGGTCAAGTAGATGATTACTAGATGTAGAATCTGCACTGGGTAACATGAAGTTAACATACCTCCAGTTCATGTACCATTAAAGGTAACCAATAGACAACATTTCATTTCATTGAACTAGGACACTCAGAACACCAACTCATACTCACATGATTTTTGAGCACATGCATCATATTGATAACCTTCATCAAACGTCAGCTTTCTGTAAAACGTTATGTAATGCTACATGGAGAGACAGAGAGATGGGTCAGTTTGTGATGTTGTGAAGTAGGTGCCATCAACTTCTCAATTACTCTAGATTCCATATCATATCATCACTTTATCTATTTGTATATCATTTAATTCTCCATAGATTAAACAACGAGTTGGAAGTTATTTGTTCTTCTTTTTTCTAACTATTTCAGGCTCCAGAAGTGGCAGCACATTTATCAACTCTGCACGGCTATTGTGAGCAGGGATTCAATGCAGAAGTGATTAAACGAGCGATTATCAAAATTTGTGATGAATGAGTTTTTATCGTTGAAAGGCTGTTAATATAAGCTGAAATAAACTCAGTGTAAACAATAACTACTTCTGTTGTATTCCCCAATGGTTTAATTTGCTATGACGATATTAAAGTTGTTTATTGATACATGGATAAGTGTGTAGTATGCAAAGTATTCATTTCATAATATCTATCTGTTTCATATTAGTGTAAACAAACATTTCGATTAGGTTATCTGTCTCTACTATTCCACTCTCTACACTTTTGTTTACCATCGTTTTATAGCTGGGAGTATGCTTTGTCAAAGAAATTAACATGGATCCAGCTGGATTATATTCATACTGATTTGAAACATGGTTTGAAAAGAGTTAGGGCGTCTTTAAAAATGAGAAGAAATTTAAGAAAAACACTGATACTGAAAGGATTCACAAGTCATAATGTAAAAATTACTCATTATGGCAAAGTACTTGTCAATATAACGAGTAATCAGGCGAAACATGAAAACGGTATCAAGATAGTGGCAAGTAGCTATCTCGTTTCTCTCAACCTTGCAAATAGACGAATGCTGGGTTTATATTAATGCAGTAGTTACTGCCGGCAACTCTCTTGACAATCCCCATTCAGACAAATTCAGTAGCGCAATTTTTAAAACCAAGCAGAGCAGTGTTCTCAAACAGAATGCAGATTGAACTACAAATAAATCCATTTTCAAACAGAAGACTGACTAATGTTAGCAGATTGGTATGATCAGATTTGGACTGATGTCGTCAAAGTTCTTCTTCAACGGTTTGGAATGCTTCTGTTTTCAATGTCACTGAGAGAGATATTTTCAGAAGCCAATTTTATGTAAAATACCATCTTGTATACAACTGTGACTTTGTCTCTCTATGTTTTAAACAGTACATTTTGTCCACAAATATTGATGAACATGGGTTAACAACCATGATTCTTCTGAAAGACAAAAGCTCTCGTTCTAAGCATTTTCATTTGCGTATTAAGTGTATCAGTTGTGCATGAGACGATTAAGATCTGTTTATGACTCAAAACCATTTAACTCTGGCTGCATATCTGCTATGCATTTTGAACAGGTTTCCTGTAGAATGGTCTCCTCAGCATTCCATCATTGATTATACTAAACTCTAGATGTAGAAACTGGCTAATTTTTACATATTGGTGGCAAGTTTTATCTCTTCATAGAACATGATATGGTAACTAATCTTGATGGCTAATCAGTAAAATGTTGTCAACATCTCAATTTTACAAAAGAAATGTTACAACATTGATTGGTCACTGAAGGTAACCAACTTCATGTTGTCTAGTCTTAAGTGCTCATCGAATTCTGTCAATCACTGTTGCAATGTGGCCAGTAGACTAGGCAGCTCACCATCGCAGTGCACTTTGAAAGATCTTAGTTGGATGGAGGCAGTCGGCACGTCCTCGTGAACATAGGTTTCGTGCTTCTTGGCACTCGTCAGCAAGGCGCATCTATAACCTCGATAGGTTCGAATCACAGGTGGGACATCAGTTACGTTGAGGTTGCAGATACGCCTTGTTGACGAGTGCCAACAAGCTTGAAATCTAGGTCCATAGCTTCCTACAGATTGCCTTCATCCAACTAACAAGTGTTGCAACCATTGGCTTGGGATAGATCGATCAATTTTTTCCATGCAAGACATACAACTGTCGATCAACATCTATCCCATTTGACAATCGATATCATTTCCTCTTGTTTTTCTAAATATCATCAGTCAGAAGGTTGAATACATGTTGGGTGTGCGTCTAAACTACAACTCTTGTAGATATAAGGCAGTTACTGTCATGCCAATAATTTTAATCGAATAATCTCTAAGACAGGGAAATGATCTTCATGAGAAGAAAACTTGTAGCAAAGGTTGTAATATCAGTCAAATAATCTTACTATTTGAGTATTTGTATTTCCTAATGCGAATGTAAAATAAATAACTTACGTTTCTTTATTAATGCGAATAAGTTTATGAAAGCTATGATAAACTACAGTTCACAATATCCTACTTTATATATGATAACTTGACAAGTGCTTTTCTGTATGAATGATTCTACCTTGTCAGAATTATTAGATGAAGATGATATCTATATGTAGTGTGATCTGTTGTGAAGTGTGGAAAAAGCAGGATTTAATGGATTCATAAGTCACAGTAGTACTCCTCAACTGGATACTCTTAATAATAATAATAATAATAATCGCTTTATTCTAAATAATATGTCTTACAGTATGGAACTCTCAGCATGTAATTTTTCAACAAATTCACTCCCAGAACAATACTTGCAGATGGAAAGGTTATTCTATCTGTATGTTATTAATCATAATAGTATTTAAGGTAATAAATATGGAACAGCCATCTGGTTCTGGATGGGCATTGGGTTCATCGTGAAGAATCAATAGAAATGCAAGCGTAATTTTAGTGATAGTCGTTTATTCAGCCGGTACAAAAATCTGCAACTCAAGCTAAGCATCTGATGGATAGAAGATTGATGTACTTTTATACACCGAAAAGTTCATTCCACACAGCGTAACTGGTTTCCTCTGCTTTGTTATTACTCAAGAAATGTAGAGTTAAAAACAGTTTAAAAATATGCCAGATTACATGATACGTTCTAAGGGCATATTTAAACGACTAAAACAACTTGAAAGGAAAGAATTTGATAGAAAGTGTTTGGTAAATAAATTTGGTAGCCCAAGATCTCTTCTTCCTTATTTTAGTATTTGCATTTCCCAATGAATGTAAAACCAAATAAATAATATTCAACTGATAGTTCACCATTCGATGCTAATAGCTTTAAGAAAGTTATGATAAACTGGAATTTACAGTATTCCACAAATGTATATATGATAAACTTGACAAATGTTCCTCTGCATGAATGATTCTACCTTGTCAGAATTGTAGAATAAAGATGATATCCATATGTAGTGTGTTGTGTCTGAAGGGTATATGAATAACAGATTGAGATTTGTATGTACATATGTGTTCATAGTTCTTATCACACGTCTGTTGGTTATGTCAGTAAGTGGAGATGGGTTAAGACTAGATCGAGTTACGTTTCACTTCCTCATTCCATCTTATTTAGACAATTATGATCATACTTTATATGAAGAAATTCTGCTACGAGATGTTCTTTATAATTTCTCAAGCCTTGTTGAATAACTTCGATGTTGTCAAAATCGACCTAGTCACCTGATATTATAGGGTATGACTGATGTGTTTCCAAGTTTTTTCACTTCTAATGAATTTCTAGGAGGTTGGGTGGAAGCTCTTCAATGTTCATTTTCCTTAATTTTTATTTCACAGGAAGTTTGTCTTATGTATATTGCATCATAGTCTGAGCATTTTATTTCGTAAACATAATTGGATTGTGAATTTAATGGGGCATCTCGTCCTTCAAATGAACTAAGGTGTTCTACTATGTGTGTTTAGTGTTGTTTAGAACACTCGGGTATTGTATTAGTTGAGCACTCTCTTAATTTCATCCAACATGTGTAATCCATAAGCAATAATTGTTGCTGGCGCCTATGATTGAGGAGTAGTTTCAAGATCTAATTTAATGTTATTTTCTATTTTGCCAATGAATTTTACCAGATTGTTATCCACTTTAAGTATCTTGTTCACATAGTTTAATTCCTTAACCCTTCCATTTTCATCCTTTGTTAGAGTATGTTCTCTCTTCAAAAGACCAGAAGTAACAAAAACTTTCGTACTAATTGAATGTAATAAGTTGAAATCTGAATATTTCTTCGAATGCGTTTCTTTCCTGAAAATGGTTACACCTAAATCTCCATTTTCTTCCAGCTTAACAAGACAATCAAGGAAAGACAGTTCCCCCTGATCCATTTCTTTTTCCTCTATAGGTTTCTCTTAAATGTGAAGTAACTAGTCTCTACACAAAATTTTAGAGCCTTGATGATGTCACTGGTGTTCAGTGGACATCTTTCTGTCAGTGATGTGTCTGAGTCTAATAAATTAGAAATAATATCTAGACTATCAATAATTGCAATATGAGTATATAAAGAATTAATGTTATAGCCTGCCATAATTTCATCTTTCTCAATTTTAAGTGAAGATATTTTGGATTTAAAGTTATCAATTGAGTCCTTTATTGTGTGTTCTGAGTACTTTTGCATAGGTTTAAGTATTGAAGCAAGATATTTGGAGAGGTTTTATGCTGGTGTTTTGATGAAGCTCATAACTGGGAAATAAAAATACCAAAATAATGAATGTCATTTACGCAATGCGTAAATATTTCAAACCATCAAATCCCAACTTGGTTTGGATATCTATAAATTAGCCAAGGAAATCAACTGTGGACATACACCAGTTCTTTCATGTTATAAATGAAATGTCTTGGACCATAACGTATAGTACTGCAATGGCACATGCAGAAGATAATGTCTTATAGGCACTAAATACTTCTCATCATCACTGAAAAGAGGTGACTCAACGTCCAAACGTCCTATTCACAGTCCAACAGCCGCTCGACCTTTCATTCTTAGGGACTGTTTTACCTCATAACACATTTGATTAACAAACTGAAATTGTAATCTTTTAAGCTTGTGTTATGTCAGCGGTAGACTCTTGATGGAGGTGAATAGAACAATGTGTGAAATATTTCAAGGAATAGGTCATCCAGCTAGCCAACGTCCAGCCACTCACCGGTTGACCGCATTCAGTCACAGCATGAAAACAATAATGAGATTTGACCAATAGCCATTGCCGAGGTTTATATCATTGTAAATATTTTCATGGAGGGAAACCTAGGGGATCTTGGTGTGAGGACACCTCAGATATTTAAATATCAGAGGACTATCCGTTGAATGGAGTAAAGTATTATGAGTTTCATTGGAATGAAGTAGGGTTTCTATTGACTAGTCTTGGTCGATTGTTCTACCAGACAAGAGAAAAGTAGATAAATCCCCTTGTGACTACCAGTAAAGAACCAGCTTGAAGAAAAATGTGCCAGTGATTCAAGATTCTTTAAGTGGAAAAGCCTAAG